CGGCTCCCATACTATTCCCATCAAGTGTGCTGTTTAAAAATTATGATATGTAGATTGTATTGTTCGAGTTATTTCATTTTTGTATCATATGTTTTATTTCTGAGGACCCTTAGCAACAAAAATCCAGTTTGTAGAGTGCCAGAGGAACTTATAATTTGACAGAATTGCATGTCTCAAATAACAGTAATCTGAGTAGAGTTAAGATTTCTGCCTCACTTGATTAGGTGCAATCAAAAGCTCTCTTCAGGTAAAATTTTTTATTGGCTCCAGGGACGTTATTTCAAGCATTATTGGTGTTGCGTGTGGTTAAGTGCTTCTTCTGAGGCCATCACTTTGAACAAGATGCCGCTGATGAGAAAAAATTGTTGAGAAATATCTGAAACCCAGCGTTCCTCGCGAATAGGATATCCATATAGTATAAAGTGTTTGTACTAGAACTCATTTGCCTAACGGTAGTTTCTTCATCTATAAAATTGTTGGCAAAAATGTTCCAATTTGATACATTTCATTGGATGAAATTTATAACAATCCGTTTTGTTCAAACAAGATGGTCATACAGTGCTTTTTCAAAAAGGTCCGCTGTACTTAATTTTTGAACTAGTCGAGCTGGCAAGCTGAAATTAGGGGTAATTAAATTGATACATAAGTACTATATTTTGATGTAAAGTGGCAGTTTGAAATTTCAAGATTACGGATGAGTGTCATTTTGGAACATCTTTTTATTGAAAGGAGCTCATTTTGAAGCTCTGGAATTTAAAATCACTGCAAATCGACTTTGAAAATAACGAATTAGTAGTCTGTCAAATTTGAGCATTATTGAACATTGAGTCGGTTATAACTCAACATCATCAAACCGCTATAGTATGTTAGGAACGTCCATATAAAAAAATGTCAAAACATGTGTAAGCTGTTTAAACTATAGTCAACGCCAAACAAAGTGGCGTGCACGTCATCACGATAAAAATTCCCCGACCTAATGCCTAGGTTTCTATCACAAACAATTGCTCCATTGCAGTTTCATATTAATGTGATATATAAATTGTAAAATGGTCATTACTCTCTTATTATGGTTAATAGTCATATAAACATTGTTATTAAAATATCACATAAGTTGCTTTCTGATAAATTTAGACGCATTATGCGAAATAAAATGTTTTGCAAACGCTCCAATCACTTATCGACATGTAAACGCACTAAACCGATTTCGCAGCGTTGACACATTGTCACCTTGAAACTTATTTAAACTGAGAACTGACATTTGTATTAATTTTGACACTGAATCAATTTGTGGCATTTCAAATCTTTATAAATCCTTTGGCCCCGCATACTGTAAATCAACAACTGTTTGTTTCAAAACAAAATTATTCATTTTACGAGTAGATAAAGGCAATTTTGGTATATAAAGATGCCCAAACAGTTAAATAGTCGGTGTAAGGAACTCGTGGCCTCGTTAATGCACTACTTTGAGCAAGAAAGGGACAACAACGGGCCTTTGTTGCCTTTAAATGCTGTTCAAGAGGTAGGTTACTAATAATTATATGTAATGTATATTAATAATAGTGAAATTTTATTTCCTTTTTTGTAGCGTGTTGCTGCTGCTTTAAAAATTAGTTTAAGGACAGTTAGTCGTATTTCCGAGGGTGTGAAAAGTGATGCAAATTTAGAATCGCCCAAGAAAAAGCGGAGTTATATTAAACGTGTAACCAACACAGCGACATTGGATACAAGTGCCATTCGAGAAGTGATCTATAATATGTATCACAAAAGTAAGATCTTATTATAATAACTTATCAGAAATTTGCATTAATTTGTTAACTAAATTATAATGTCATATTACACATGGTTTCAGAAGAACAAGTTACGATACAAACTTTATGGTCTCGATTAAGAGATAGGGCATTATTTGATGGTAGTGCCACGTCTTTAAGGCGGTTGCTTAGAGATCTTGGATTTAAGTGGCTTAAGGACAATCCGCGACGAGGGTTCATGGAACTACCAAGTATAGCTTTGAAAAGGGTGGAATTTCTAAGGCAATACAATCAAGCCAAGGTTGAGGCCTTATACCAGTTTGTCTTCCTCGATGAAACTTGGATATTTGAAAATGGGACCATAGGTCGCTCTTGGCAAAATGGAAACCAAAAAAGCGTGAAAGCTATTAAAACAGATGGTAAAAGGTATGTACTTTTACAAAATTTGCACTATAAAATTTAAAACTAATATATTTTAGATACATTATATTACATGCTGGAAATGAAAATGGGTTTATTGAGGGTAGTGAAGCGATATTTTCTTCGAAAACAAAATTGAGCGATTACCATGGAGCGATGAACCAGGACAATTTTTTGAAATGGTTTCAACATCAGTTATTAGAAAAATTGGAGAGTCCATCTATGATTATACTGGATAACGCCTCTTATCACAGCATGATATTGAACAAAGTGCCCAACAATGCATGGACAAAAAAAAATATCCAAGACTGGTTGACAAATCAAAACATACCATTTTTAAACACAATGTTTAAAACAGAGCTATTGAGTATTGTTGCTCGGTACATAATGCTTCTTAATTATATATATTTTGGTCGACAGTTTATATTTCTTTTGTTTATTCCTATTCTTAAAATAACTGCTTTTTTAGAAACAAACCACCTAAAATATACGTGATTGATGAATTGGCGGAACAACATGGGCACAAAGTTCTTCGTCTGCCTCCTTACCATTGTATATTTAACCCTATTGAGTTAATTTGGGGCATAGCAAAAGGTTACTATAACAGACATATTGGTAGAGATGGTAACAGTGAAAAAGACTGTTTGGATATGTGGAACGAGGCTCTACAAACGGTTACCCCAGACATGTGGGAAAATAGTGTTCGACATACTGAGCAAGAAATTTTTAAATGGTATGAAAGGGAACGAATTTTTGATCGACCAGACATCGAACCTTTAATAATCAACTTTGAGAGTGATGAAGATTCAGATTCAGACAGCGCTGAAGAAAGAAACTCCGACTAACTTTATTGTACAGAAAAAGCTTACACCAGTAGCTTACCTAATTTTAGAATGCATTTTTCTGTATGAATTCTGTAAAATAAATACCATGCATAAAATTTGGAGGACCCCATTTGGATTTTTATTCAGTACCTTTAAGCTATCAATTAAATATGGTAGTTTCATAGTGTCATCTGATCAATAATTGTCATACTTAATGATTATGCAAGTACAGATCTATAATTTTATTATACTATTATTTTTGTTCTCATTTGAGGTTATTATTGCTTATAAACCTAGATATGTAAATAATAAATTTTATTATTTTACAAAAAGTTTGGCAACAATGTAAATTTTTCAACACACCCACCTTGATGACGTGCACGCCACTTTGTTTGGCGTTGACTATAAATATTTCATACTCTAATATTAATATAGACCCTTCCAAAAGAAAAAGATTACATACTACATTGTTTTGATTATAAATTGTCGAGTTGTTGTACAAAGGCGCTCAACTTTAATAGGTTCGCACTCCGCCATTTTGAAAGTGATTTTATACTCTGGTGTTACAAAGTATTCATAAAGACCGGCAAAATAAGGTGACACACGTCCACTCACAGCATTAAAGAATGTTACAAGATGGGGCCCAGCCATCATCTTGAAAGATTCAACTGTTATTTCTGCGACAGAATATATATATATAGTAATTATGCGTTAATTAAATCATCCCAAAATTCAGCATCCTGTTCAAAAAATAAGGTGGGGGAGGGACCAATCTGAAAGGCCCTGTATAAATAACAGCCAACGACACTAAAAATAATATCATCAAAATGGTTTAAATCTAGCTAATTCCATATAATTTCCAATAAACGCCTATAAAATCACGTTTTTATGAAGATAAGCCATCGTAATAAGGAGATCAACCAGACGTCTGATATCATATAAAAGCGTATGTATCGGGTATGTGGGTATAGGAAAACCGGTGTTCGGACATCAAATTGAACGAGACCACTATTGGCACTCAGGTATAGTCCTCAGTACAGGACAGCTTTGATTTAGAAATTTACACGACGGTCTCTCAATAGAAATATATGCTATTTTAGTGGCAGCACATTTAGCGATTCGACAGTAGAGAACAAAAGGGACTGGAGACGGTAGCGTCAAGAAATATCAAGTACCTTTGGAGCCAGGAGTATACAGCACAGCCCTGGAAAATCTAGTCATTCAGCAAGACCGTATTGCGGTTTGTTGGTACTTGGACACAGTGACGAAAATGGAGGACTGGGCCACCAGGAGGCTGAAAAAAACATGAGACACCATGTTGACACCCTAGCATCCGTAGTCAAATTCAGCTAGTAAAATACATTGCTGTCAAAATTTTGGAGTAACAAGAACAAGTCATTGATAATGAATTTATTACAAAGATTTTTAGGTATATGTTTGTTTAAAATAGGATACAAATCGATCAGTTTTTCAACCATATCTATAAAGATGTTTATGTTTTCTTGAAAAAAAGTAAGAAAACGACCAGATGAAAGACGAGAATTCTAATTTTGCACCACTATATCTCTGCCGTGCGATGCATCCATGATTTTCCTTAAATACCAACGCTGATCAACCATATTATACAACAAGGTAATGCGCGACCACATTTAGCCAGAATTACTCTGGTCTTTTTGAAGACAATCCTCTGACCTCTGGGATACTGTAGGAAGAATACTTACAATTACTAGCCTGACCATAAGATAGACGTATGCAAAAAATGGTTGCTATAAAGTCACTATTGCCGAATATTCTATTTTCTATGCCACTTGGTATATTTCAATGGATTAGGTTGGCTATGGTTGGCGGCGACATCGGCATGACATCCTCTAAACGGAGCTCATAGCAGGAACGAACAAAAAGTAGAAAACCTTTGAACCTTCCGTTGCGGCTGCACACAGTCCCTGCAAATAAATAGATATCTGTCCCTCATGAGAACACCTGCAAAGGATATTGCGAAAAGGATAAAATGTCATTGTACCTCGTAGGCAAGTTCACCTCTGTCAAGGCTATGACAGCTAAGATACTCGGTGTAAGGATCTATGAATCAGGCTGGTTCAAATTTCTGGCAGGTTGAGCATCAAGATTTGTCGTTGGCTTTGTTGTAAGTCCAGATTCCGCAAATTCAGCAACAGCTTCCAGGATTTACCCCCCCTAATTACTACTGCCCTCAGGTCAGTGGCAGATTAAGGAGTTTGGGAACAGGCGCAATGGTGGCTCCAAGATTTGTGTTCAGGCAGATTTCCATTTCGGGGGGTAAGGGGTGTTTTTCCGGAAATTGAAGGGCGGGTGTAGGTGCACCTTGGGAGATACAATCTCCACGACTCATATCATCGCAGGGTAATTTCCGTATCAAGATACAGCAATATTGTTCCATTTTAATGGAAATTTTGCAAGTTTGGGTGTCTAGGGGGAAAGCCCACCTTCCCTCTAAATTCGCGAGTGACTCGGGTTCTGAGGTACACTCCAAAAAGGTCAATGACAATTTAATCCTCTCGTTGTCCATGTATGTGGGTATGCTATACAATAGTAATAAATTGATTGAATATCACGTATGGCATTATGTCTCTATAGATTATCTAACAGATTAATAAAAGATGAAGTAACTACAGAATTACTGTCACGGCAAGACTTTGCAAAACTGCATACATAACCGCAATTCCGTGCTAATCCGACACTAATAATCCGTTTTAGTACTTTGTGTGCTCATTATAAGCATCTAAATAGTAAAATTCTCGTATTATTACTTGAAAACCTTGGTAATTCCAGTGAACGACTAGCGCGGATGAAAAACGAATAATTGTATTTGAATTTCAATCGAATTAGTTGACACCTACCGGGAGGTGGATGAAGTAACATAATTCTGTCATGTTTATATGGATAAAAAATTTCTAGATACTACTTTATGTTTAACGTGCAATTTACTGCCCGTAGGATCAGCACAACAGAACTATTTATGTAAATCACATAGTCAGTTGGCTTTTAAAGGTTTATATATATAATACAATGGTATTTGTAAATTTGGGAGTTGATGAATGTGTTAGGAAAGAAGCTTGTCTTTTCGTCATAGAGAATGCCGAGTGTCTGGATTTTTAACTGGCTGCTACTTGACGTATCTTAATCCAGGAGGTACCTCCGTATCCAAAGTTGGGAGCATATAAATATAGTGACTTCAAAAAGTGAGATATTTCGCCCTCAACCCTCAAAGCTTCCAATTTTCGACCACTACGAACATTTTTCTGAAAGTGATCAAGATCCTCTGAAACATCAAAAAGCGAATGCTGAGCGATTTCTATTATTTTTAGTCACTGTATCGATTTTGAAAAACCAAGAATTAGCGGACAAACAGACAGACGATTTTGTTAAAGGATATTTGAGGAATATTCTAGAACTGGAGCAACATTGACATTTTTGTTTTTTCAAATCCTTTTTCTAGATCAAAAATAAAATATTTTGTATTAATTCTCTCATACCTCGGCAAGCTATCAACTTTAAAGAAAAGTTAACAGCTCCTTTTGGCCAGAATGTATAAATTGTCTAAAAAAATTACTTGAATACTTTTTGACCCAATGTTGGTCCTGAAAACACTCATATTCATTAAAAGGTATTCTTTATGAATAACATCATGCAGAAAACGAATAAGAACATTTCTTGGAGAATATGCGAAGATACTTCATGAACTAACTACAAAAAATAGGTTTGAGCGTATGAAACCCTTGTGTAGAAAATGCGAAGAGAAAAGAGGAAAAACATAGAATGGTGTCTTCCTTTGTCTTGCTCCGAGTGCAAAAATGTCTTCCCAATTCATAAATCGAGAGAGGAGACAGATCTGAAAGTTCATTAAAGACTTGGAATGGGATTGTACATACCTAGTTGCTAAGTTGAAAGCTCCCACCATATAGCGATCTAGAGATTTGAAGTCTTCGAATCAAGTTTCGGGGCTCTTCAAATCACGAAATGAGATCAATCAAGTGCCTGTCAACTGCCCAGATAAAAGACCAATGCTGAGGTACATGCATTGCACGCAGCACCAATAACTGTAATATATAAAACTTATTTTGTTTGTTTGTTTAAGATTTATTTAGCATTGAAGCTACAATGTCACTTTTGTATAGTTACCTGTTTACAGATTTTTTCAATCAATTCACATTTTTTTCTATTAAAATTACATTACTATGCATTTTGAGTATTCATAATGAAATAATTTCGACTCAAACATTTTTAAATTCGAACACTGTTTAATATAATTATTCAGTTTATTAAATTCAAATACTCCCTTATAAAATACAGATTTGCTAGTTATGCTACTATTGCAATTTTGCAGATGAAAATCTATACTGCCCCTAGTTTTGTTGTTATGATAATGACTATTTCATTTTGTTTAGTTTTCTAAATGTGGTGGTAATAAATGATTTTTTAATTTGAATATGAAAATGAGAACTAAATAACATGAAATTTTTCACATTCAACCACTGTAGTTTTTCTAACATATACTCAATCCTAGCATATTTGTTTTTATTCAAAATCATTCTCATAGCTTTATCTTGTAAAATCTTTAATTTTGAAAATATGTTTTCATTTGCTGTAAACAAGATGGTTGAACAATATAAAAAATGTGGTAGAATTATAGTGTTATAAACATTTTTTTTTTGAAAATGTACTAAGATTATGGAAAGCTCTATGGAAGTAATTTATCTATTTGATATTTTTGAAATAATGCATTCATAATGTTCGTGAAACAGTAGTTGACTATCCACATATATACCCAGATATTTAAAAGATTCGACCACTTCAATTTTTTCATCATTAATCATGATCCTAATTGTATTACCAAATAAATGTTTCCGTATTGACATACATTTTGTTTTATTAGTGTTTAAGCTTACTAACATTAAACCAATTCATATTTTTTTAATATCACTATTTAACAGTTCTAAAGCAGTGTCTAAATGCTTATGTCCTATATATATATATATATAGGTGAAAAATTAATGCTTCCGCCTTTTGTTGGGTACTTCGACAAAATTTAAGCAAAGAGGACTCTTTGTACTTTTTTTAATTCTCTCTAGCTTTCAATGGACTTTGCCATCATCATCAGGAGAGTAGTATGTGAGGATGTTGCTAATTGTTGTTTACGTATAGGATGAGGGAAACGTCCAGTAACATGGTGTGAGCTGGATACATGGTACAATGGTCAAAATTATATAAAATATGACAAGACAGGTTACACCCGTATCCGGATGTTTGGGCATGTGTTTCTACCTTTGTAGTTGCATATGTGCATTCATTTCGGGCCTGATGAAGCCAACCAGCAGAAATACGTATCGCTCGGGTTACCTATCCTATTCTGCTCAAATCCACTTTTTGCGGATTTTGCCCATTATTTTCCTATTTTTGTTATATACCTTTCTCCGCATGATAATTTACTCTTTATATATATATATATATATATATATATATATATCAATGTATCGTCCGCAAATATTTGGAATTTGCAATGTTCTAAAATGTCAGGAATAACATTTACATAAATAATAAATGGTGACGGCCCTAGTTTACTCCCCTGTGGCACCCCTACTGATGTATTTTGAACGCTTGACTTAATATTTCCAAATTTAGTTTTTTGACTTCTATTCACTAAATAACTTTGTAAAATGTTTAATACTGATCGTTTAAAACTATAGTGATGCAATTTCATTGAACATGTTTGACTATCTATAGACTCAAATGCCCTTTTGAAGTTTGAAAATACGGTTACAATACATTCTTTCTCATCTAACACATACTTCCAGTCTTCCACCACCATTTGGACTGCAGTTTCTGTAGAATTTTTCCAGTTTGATACTTTGTAAAAATTTTGTTTTATTCAATGGAGTCAATGATTTTTTCGTATATTATCCCTTCGAACAACTCCTTGACATCTCTCAAGACATTAATCGGTCGCATATTTGTATATAGGTCAGAAAGTTCTACTTTTGGTTCAGGAGTAATGGTGGAACACTTTAATTTTGATGGGAATTCACCAAGTACTAAAAGATGGTTCACCAATAATAATAATGTCTCTCCAGTTATATTGAAACAATCATTTAGAATCTTTTTCGGAAGATTCTCATTTAGATTTATATTAGATTTCAATTCTGAGATAGCTTTTCTTAGATTTTTGATAATAGTAATAATAATAATAATAAATTGCTTTTATTGCTCATGTAAGTACAGAAAAAGAAAAAGTACATAAATCTGATGCTTAGTGTCCTAAATTGATTCATTGATGAATTGTGATATACTTGTAATGAACATAAGTTTGGATCACCGTCATCAATCGTCTCACTCAGATCAAACTGCTTTCTGCAATCCACGGAAACTTCCACAGTTTTCGTCAACTGTCTGGAACACGAAGATTATATGGAACCAACCGCTTATATATGTTTTCACAGAAAACTACGAATTTTATGTGAAACATCAACATCTGCCAAACTAGCAGCTTAAGTAGATCAGCTTGTAGTAAGAACTTGCATCTTGACTATTGACTGCATAATTTTGGCGACAAACTGATCGTATACTTACTCCTTCTGCCTGGTCCGAATTCATTAGCTGAATGCGATAGGAATAGAAAAAAACTTATTAAATAATTTTCTGGTATCCTCAGCAACGCCGACTAATATAAACTACTGTTCAAAATAGCGGTTCTGAAACAAGTTATAACAAAAAACGAACATGCTATTTTTAGGAGAATCACTAATCATGAGTTTGCCTATTGATTAGACATCATCACATGCATAAAAATCATATTAATTATATGTGTCGTCGCGTTCTCAACACCAGAATGTAGTCGATCCTGTTAATTGCTTCGTTTTTAATTTGAACATATACTGTTAAGTTTTAGAGTGTACAGTTTTCAATTAAGTCCTCTTGCATAATTATATGTAGGCGTTTCGGATATATGAACAAGTGACTCTTAGCCTCTCCGATATGTTAATGGTGACATTTGCTAGCATTATAATTATTGATTTCTCGAGTAATAAAATTTGAT